TTTTGGGACATTTAGACCATGGCATTCTGTTCCTGGCCACCTATAATTCATAACCCCCTCAAATTTGTTCCATCTCAATAGCCCCCAAAATTTGAACTTGTTCCAATACCAACTCAAAAGTCTAAAACTCGGTTTCATCTAAACATCCACGAAATTGGTTATGGCTGAGACTCAAGGTATGATTCATCCTGAGGCAAATTACTCTCCAGTTGTGAAATCAAACATGTTCTATACTTCCAAAACACAATAGTAAGACAGGCATAGAATAGACATTTCCATTTCAAAAGGAAGGATTATTTTTAAAATGGGGATAACAGGTTCCAACCAAATCGAAAACCCATTAAGGCAAATATTAAATTTTAAGACTCCAGAATAATCTTCTCTGACTTGATGTCTCATCTTCCAGACAGACAGGGGTAGTGGCTAGGCCTCAAAGATTCTGAACAGCCTTGCCCTCATGGCTTTGTGGGTGCAGCCCATGCTGTAGCTGTTATTAGTTGGAGTTGCTTGCTCCTGGCTCTATTTTTCTGGGGTTTTAGAAGTGACTCTGCCTCCATGGCTCCACTAGACATTGCTCTAGTGGGGACTTTCCAGTGGCTCTGAGGCTCTCTAGGTCATCCTTTGAAATCTAGGTGGAGGCAGCCATGTCCTCACAGCTCAAACACTCTGGTGAGATGGCACTGTGCAGATACCACAAAGGTTTACTGCCTGGGCTTCTCCACAGAGGAAAACCTGAGCTGTACTTGGGCCCATTTGAGCCACAGCTGAGGGGCCAAGGAATGCTGCACCAGAATGAGAGGAACAGAAGCTTGACGTTTTTACGCTCCCAAGGCCCTAGTATTCTGGGCCTGCAATGGGCAGGGCAGAACCCAATGATCTCTGAAATGTTTTCAGGGCCATTCTTCCATTGCCTTGATAAATAGAAGAAGCAAGCAAGCTTCTGCCCATCCATACTAAATATTCTTTTCAAACACTGACTTGGCCCCACCCTTGGTGTTCTGTCCTGAACACAATTTTTTATTCTTTACAACATGGCCAGGCTGAGAATTTTGCAAATCTTTAAGATCTGCTTCCTTTTTTATTATAAATTCCATCTTTGGTTGGTTTTTCTCCTCTTTCGTTTTAGTATAAGCAATCAAGAGAAACCATGCTGCACTCTTGGCCGTTACTTGGAGATTTCTTCCAAATATCTGATTTCACCGTTTCCAAGTTCTACCTTCCACAAAGCACTAGGAGATAAACACAATTCAGCAAGTTATTTGCCACTTTATACAAGAATGGCCTTTTCTTCAGTTTCTAACAACATATTCCTTACTTCCATCCGAGACCTCACCAGAATGGCCTTTAACATTCATATTTCTGCCTGTATTCTGGTCACAACTGCTTAGGTAATGTCTAAGAAGATTGAGTTTTCTCAACAGCTTTCCTTTTCTTCTGAGCCCTCACCAGAATTTCTCTTTGCTATCCATTCCAGCAATATAGGCTTTTTCTTTTAGCCTCTTCCTTCAAACCCTTCCAGACTCTGCTCACTACCCAGTTCCAAACTCCCTTCCACATTTCTAGGTATTTGTTACAGCAGCATTCCACTTCTCAGTACCAGTTTCTATCGTAGTTCATTTCTGCTGCTATAACAAAGTATCTTAGGCTGGGTAGCTTATGAACAGAAATTTAGTGCTCAAACTTTGGGAGGCTGGAAAGTCCAAGATTAAGGCATTAATAGATTCAGTGTCTGATAATAGCTCCTTCCCTGCTTCAAAGACAATGCCTTCTTATTGTGTCCTCCTGTGGTAGAAAGGGCAAGGCAGCCCTCTTATAGCACTAATCCCATTCATGAGGTCGGAATCCTTATGACTTAATCACTTACTCAGAAGGCGCTACCTTTTAATACTAACACATTAGGCATTAGGTTATAGCACATGGCTTTTCTGGGAGATATCAACATTTAGACCATAGCAACAGGATATATGGAGTTTTGGTGAGCGTGTTAGGCAGACAGCAGTGTGAACGATAGTGAGTCATTATATACAGAGAAGTGCAATTCTGAAAGAAACTAGATGTAGTTAGCGTAGATATTAGGAAAGCTTTGGGCTATTAATTTTACATATTCTGTGGGATGAGAAGTTCAAAGAAGTTGAGAGCCTAGGTCTGAGAAGACCCCAACTCGAGCTCTGTAAGATATGAGGGTTTAACTAGAATATTTACATGCCAAGTTATCACCAAGAAATAGCATAAAAATAGAATTCTATCAACTCTAAAGTAAAGGCTGGACTGGGCACAGCATCTTACACCTGTAATCCCAGCACTTTGGGAGGTTAAAGGCAGGAGGATCACTTAAGCCCAGGAGTTCAAGACCAGTTTGAGCAACAAAGTGAGACCCTGTCTCTAGAAAACAAATTAGCTAGATGTAATGGCATGTATCTGTGCTCCCAGCTATTTGGGTGGCTGAGGTGGGAGGAGTGCTTCAGCCTGTGAGGTCAAGGCTGCAGTGAGCTAAGATTACAACACTGCACTCCAACCTGGGCAATAGAGCAAGATCCTGTCTCAAAAAAGAAAAAAGCCTGAGGGTTGAGGTAGTATCAAGGACTTTGATTGTTGGCATTTACATGGATTGGAAAAAAATCTTTTTTCATGGAATTGGAGAGGAAAAAAAAAAAAACGTTCATGTGTGCCTTTAAAAAGAAAATAACAAAAAAAAACTGATTTTTTTTTTTTCTCTGAAGATTCAGAGGGAGTATATATTTTTTAAATGATATATTACTACAACCAGGAAAATGTTTTGGTAAACATCTTGGCAGTTATTGAAACAGTAAGACAATCTTTATGAAACTGGAACAGAAAGCCAAGAGGAAAGTAGATATTAACCTAAAAAGATAGTAGTATGAAATGTACAGAAATGTGCTGGAGATAAAATCAGCTGCCAGAGAAGAGGAAATTGTCACAAGAATGAAAGATGCAATAGAATAAAATCAACAATTTAGTTAGTAAAAGCAGACTTGTTATAACAAAAAAAAAAAACTTACTCAGTGATGTGGTAGACTAACTTGAGAAGGTTTTGCAGAATATAAGAGTAGACTAAAAGATATGATAGAGAAATGGTAGATATAAAGGATGGAGAACAACAATCTGTATTAAAAGCTAGAAGTGTTCAAAGTAGAAACCAGGAGCAAAAATCATAGATAAAAATTAGTAAACAAACACTTCCCTGAGCAGAAAAAAGAAATTCTAACACTAAGTGTGTTGATTTAAAATAGTTAACATGTAAGTTTAACATGGAGCTTAACATGTTACAAACAAAATTAATACAGAGAGAAACATATCTTTAAGAATAAAGAAAAAAATTTAAAATACTTGTTTTGAAATAAAACATGTTAACTATGAAACAAAATCAAACAAACTTGAGAATTCTCTTTCACAGTAGTAAATATCAGTTTACAATGGAATCTTTTCTACAGAATTTTAAAAGGATAAAATCATGACCCAAGAATTCTATATCAACTCAAGTTTTTGTTTATATATGAAGGCAACATAAAGACATTAAAATATATATACATATATATATTCAGAAAACACATTATCCATGTGGTTTTTCTTTAAAAATTACTTGAAGATATATTTGAGATGTCTATGAAGTTAATCAAAATTTAAAAACAGGAAAGTTACACTTATAAGAGGACCTAGTGTTTATTAGAATAATTCAAACATAAAATAGGTGTATTAGTCAAGGTTCTCCAGAGAAATAAAACCAATAGTATATCAAATACATATTACATATGCATACAATGTATATATGATTTATTATGTGGAACTGGCCTATGTGATTATGAAGGCTGAGAAATTTTAAGATCTACACTTGCTAAGCTGGAAACCCAGGAGAGCTATGATATGTTCAGTCCACATTTGAGTTCGAAAGCGGGAGATCAGCTTGAAAACACTGAAAACATTCAAGCAGAGCGAACAAACTGTCTGCTAAGCTGGAGATCCAGGAGAGCTATGATATGTTCAGTCCACGTTTGAGTTCTAAAGCGGGAGATCGGCTTGAAAACATTGAAAACATTCAAGCAGAGAGAACAAATTCTCTCCTACCCTGCCTTTTTGTTCTATTTAGGCTTTCAGTGGGTTGGATGAGGCCCACCTCCATTGAGGAGGGTAATTTGCTTTACTCAGTCTACAGATTCAAATGTTAATCTCATCCAGAAACATCCTCACAGACATACCCAGAATAAAGTTTAAGCAATACTGGATACCCTGTTATTCAGTCAAGTTGACACATAAAATTAACCATCACATTAGATTTAAATAATTGTTGTAAGTTTGGTTGTAAAAATGAAATGCAAACATTGGAAATTGTTCTTAAAAGAGGACAATGGAAAAATTACATATAGAACCAAATCACATTAATGTAGATCTGAATGTCCAGGTAACATGAAGAAAGGCGATGACCCAATGAGAAGTATGTGAACTGGGAGAAAGCAAAAAGATAGTTATTTTAAAAAATCTTTTGCGAAAGTAAGGAATGAAAAAGAATAAGTTTTAAACACTAGTATCAATAGAACTTAAAACAGAGTTGATATCTTCCAAAGCTACGGAAGATAGAATCAACCCAAAGAGAAAATGACAGAAAACAAAGGAAGTGGCATAGAAATCTGAAAAATAGAAAAAAGAAAGAGAAAAGAAACAATAACCACAGATAGCATAACAACACAAATGATATCAGTCTTGATAATAAATTTAAATGAGTTATACTCCCCAGTTAAAATGGAGTTCTCCAAATATGGTTAAAAAACAACTGCTTAAAAAACCTTTGCTACTTCCAAAAAGCACATCTAAAACAAACATGTTTATTTATGTATTTATTTATTTCAATAGGTTTTGGGGAACAGGTGGTGTTTGGTTACAGGAATAATTTCTTTAGTGGTGATTTCTGAGATTTTGGTGCACCCATCACCTGAGCAGTGTAAACTTTACCAATGTGTAGTCTTTTATCCCTTTCCACCCCCCACCCTTTCCTCCAAGTCCCCAAAGTTCAGTGTATCATTCTTATCCTTTTCATCTTCATAGCTTAGATCCCACATATTAGTGAGAACACGTGATGTTTGGTTTTCCCTACTTGAGTTACTTCACTTAGAATAATAGTCTCCAATTCCAACCACATTGCAGTGAATGCCATGCTTTCATTCCTTTTTTGTGGCTGAGTAGTATTTCATTATATATATATATGTAATTTTCTTTCTCCATTAATTGGTTGATAGGCATTTGGGCTGGTTCCATATTTTTGCAGTTGGAAATTGTGCTGCTATAAATATGTGTGTGCAAGTATCTCTTTTTTTTTTTTATAATGACTTCTTTTCCTCTGGGTAAATGCCTAGTAGTGGGATTGCTGGATCTAATGGTGGATCTACTTTCAGTTCTTTGGGGAATCTCTGCACTGTTTTCTATAGTGGTTGTACCAGTTTACATTCCCATCAACAGTGTAAAAGTGTTCCCTTTTCACCACATTCATGTCAACATCTATTATTATGGCCATTCTTGCAGGAGTGAGGTGGTATCACATTGCGGTTTTGACTTGAATTTTTTTGATAATTAGTGATGTTGGGTATTTTCCACATGGCTGTTGGCCATTTTCCACATGGCTGTTGGCCATTTGTATATCATCTTTTGAGACTTGTCTATTCATACCCTTAGGCCACTTTTTTATGGGATTGTTCATTTTTTCTTGCTGATTTGTTTGATTTCTTTGTAGATTCTGGATATTAGTCCTTTGTCTGATTGATAGATGGGGATTTTCTCCCACTCTGTGGGTTATGTTAACTCTGCTGATTATTTATTTTGCTGTGCAGAAACTTTTTAGTTTAATTAAGTCCCATCTATTTATATTTTGTTTTTGTTGCATTTGTTTTTGGGTTCTTGGTAATGAAGTCTTTGCCTAAGTTAATGTCTAAAAGGTTTTTTCTGATGTTATCTTCTAGAATCTTTATGGTTTCAGGTTTTAGATTTAAGTCTTTGATCCATATTGAGTTGATTTTTATATAGGATGACAGATGAGGATCCAGATTTAGTCTTCTACATGTGGCTTTCCAATTATCCCAGGACCATCTGTTGAATAGGGTGTCCTTTCTCCATCTTATATTTTTGTTTTCTTTGCTGAAAATCAGTTGACTGTAAGTATTTGGCTTTATTTCTGGGTTCTCTATTCTGTTCCATTGGTCTATGTACCTATTTTTATATAAGTATAGTGCTGTTTTGGTGACAATGGCCTTAAGTATAATTTGAAGTTGAGTAATATGATGCCTCCAGATTTGTTCTTTTTGCTAAGTCTTGCTTTGGCTATGTGGGCTTGAGTTTTAGAATTGTTTTTTTCTTTCACTCTGTGAAGAATGACAGTGGTTTTGTTTGTTTGTTTGTTTGTTCGAGATGGAGTTTTGCTCTTGTTGCCCAGGCTGGAGTGCAGTGGCATGATCTTGGCTCACTGCCACCTCCGCCTCCTGGGTTCAAACAATTCTTCTGCCTCAGCCTCCCTAGGAGGTGAGATTAGAGCCACCACATCCAGCTAACTTTTTATATTTTTAGTAGAGACAGGGTTTCACTAAGTTGGCTAAGCTGGTCTCAAACTGACCTTAGGTGAACCACCTGCCTCAGCCTCCCAATGTGCTGGGATTATAGGGGTGAGTCACCATGCCTTGCTGATTGTGGTAATTTAATGGGACTTGCATTGAATCTCTAGATCGCTTTTGGTAGTATGGTTATTTTTCACAATATTGATTCTACCCATTTATGAGCATAAGTTGGGTTTCCATTTATTTGTGTCATCTATGGTTTCTTTCAGGAGTATTTTGTAGTTTGCCTGGTAGAGGTCTTTCACATTCTTGGTTAGGTATATTCTGAAGTATTTTATTTTTGCAACTATTGTCAAAGGGGTTGAGTTCATGATTTGATTCTCAGCTTGGTCACTGTTGGTATGTAGCAGAGCTACTGATTTGTGTACATTAATTTTTATCTTGAAATTTTGCTGAATTCATTTACTAATTCCAGGAGATTTTTGGATATGTCTTTAGGGGTTTTCTAAATACAATCATATCATCAGCAAACAGTGACAGTTTGACTTCCTCTTTACTTATTTGGATATCCTTTATTTCTTTCTCTTGTCTGATTGCTCTGGCTAGGACTTCCAATAATATGTTGAACAGAAGTGATGAAAGTGGGCATCCTTGTTCTGTTCCAGTTCTCAGAGCGGGGAATGTTTAAAACGTTTTCCCATTCAGTATAATGTTGGCTGTGGGTTTGTCATAGATGGCTTTTATTACCTTAGGGTATATATCTTCTATGCCAATTTTGCTGAGGATTTTAATCATAAAAGGATGTTGGATTTTGCCAAATGCTTTTTCTGTGTCTATAGAGGTGATGATGTGATTTTTGTTTTTAATTCTGTTTATGTGGTGTATCACATTTATTGACTTGCGTATGTTAAACCATTCCTGCATCCCTAGTATGAAACCCACTTGATCATGGTGGATTATCTTTTTGATATGCTCTTGGATTTGGTTCAGCAGTATTTTGTTGAGGATTTTTGCATTTATGTTTCTCAGGTATATTAATCTGTAGTTTTCTTTTTTTGTTATGTCCCTTCTTGGTTCTGGTATAAGGGTTATACTGACTTCACAGAATGGTTTAGGGAAGACTTCCTCTTTCTCTATCTTTTGGAATAGTTTCCATAGGATTGATACCAACATTTCTTTGAATGCCTGATAGAATCCTTCTGGTCCCGGACTATTTTTACTGGCATTTATTTTTATTTTTTACCATTTCAATCTTTTTTCTTGTATTAGTCTGTTCAGAGTTTCTATGTCTTCTTGCTTTAATCTAGGAGAGTTGTATATTTCCAGGAATTTATCCATTTTTTCTAGGTTTTCTAGTTTATGCATGTAAAGGTGTTCATAGAAGCCTTGAATAGTCTTTCATATTTCTGTGGTATTGGTTGTGATATCTCCCACAAAATACATATAATTTTATAAAAACAAGAGAGTAGACAAATATTTATAAGTCACCGTTTCAAAAGAGATATAATTAATGATTTCAGACAACATAGATATCAAGGGTTAAAACACAAAATGGTTAAAAAAAAAGGTTATTTTTATCATGAACACTACATTGCACAATTAAGTTATAACATTTATAGAGCTTTATGCTTTGACTAACATCAACACTTATAGTCAAAAATTATTAGGAGAAAAGGAAAAATGTGCAGAAATGCTATAGCTGCAGGAAAATTTAACAGCCTTATCTCAGGCTTTGAATGATACAAGTGGTCACTTGGTTTTTGGCCCCACATTCTTTCCCTTGAGAACTGCCTTTCTTCCAACCCTGAGAATGATTTGGTGCCATTGATCAAGAGACTGTATCTTCCCAAACAAAGCTCTGAGCAAATTTAGTGGACACTGGATGCTCCACTTCGATTCTTTGGGATTCCTTTTTGCTAGTTTTGTAAGCCCATTCCCAGCGTTTGTGTGCTTTGCCAATAAGGCTTTGCACCTGAGCCCTTCAGAGGCTGGAACTTGTGCACTGGGTCTGCCTTGTCTGCACGCAAAGCTAAAAGTGCCTGGAAGTTTTATGGCTTTCCAATCTCTCTACACCCAGGGCTTCTTTGCCCCGGGATGACATGCTCGGAGGTATAATTTATGCTCCACAGCTCCCATATCAGGTTTTGGAAACTGCTAGGCTTTTTTCCCCTTCTCTAGCTTTCCACACTCTTTTACTGTCTTCTCTCAGGAGCATGTCCTTAAGAACTCACTCTCAGTGGAATCTTTGACTTAAGATGTGAGTCTGTGAAGCTTGACCTGAGATAACACATAGCCTGAGCTGACCAATCAGAGTGGCTTATCTTTCTGTTCAAGAATTGGCCAGAGGTGGGCAATTTACCAAAAACTGGGGCAATCAAAGTCCTTTATCTTGTCTTGATTTGTGTGTTGGGAGAAAGAGTGTTTCTCTATTGCTGTGATTACAATATGTAAGGAACATATAAGCCTAGATTTCCTAGAAGCTGATCTTGTTGTTCATAGAGCCTGCCTGAGAAAAGAAGAGAGGAGCAAGCAAAACTACAAGATGAAGAAAGATAGTAATAATAAGAATTATTAATATAACAGGGATTTCCAAAACATAAACCTCAGCAAAGTCTAGATCTAGGGATTCAAATGATTACTCATCATTTGAATGGCCCCAGAGTTCCTGTGCCTTTGGGTGGTGTGACATCTCTGTGTCACCTTGTTTGGACTGATGATGATCAAGCCCTGAAAACCAGACTAGATGATGGATGTCTTGGCAGATGCCTTCGTGGATGGCCAACATTGAAGAGCAGACCTGCTTCTTTCCTTGGCACTACGTAAACAACCTTAATTAAAGAGAAGAATGGAGCCCCAAATTCCACTCCTGGTGGAATGGGGACTTGAAATAGACATTAAATTAATTTGTAGAAAAATAAACTAGGCTGTATTTCTGGTGTTTTATCATTTGAATGTGTCCTCCACATTTTATGTGTTAAAAGCTTAATACCCAATGTGGCAGTATTAAAAGGTGAGGTCTTTTAAGACATGATGGGATCATGAGTGCTTTGCCCTTAGAAATGGATTAATCCATTAATGGAGAAACAGATTAAAAGGTTAATGGATTAATGGTGGCTATACAAGAAAAGAGAGACCTGAGCTAGCACAACTAATCTCCTTGCAATATGATGCCCTGTGGCTCCACCTTGGGAATCTTCGGAGAGTCCCCACCAGCACGAAGGCTCTCACCAGATTTGGTCCCTCACCCTGAGACATCTCAGCCTCCATAACTGCACAAAATTCATTTCTTTTATTTATAAATTACTCATTCTAGGTGTTCTGTAAGCAACAGGAAATGGACTAAAACAGAAAATTGGTAGTGAAAAGTGGGGTGTTACTTATAACAAATACCTGAAACTGTGGAAGCTGCTTGAGAACTGGGTAATGGACAGGGCTGGAAGAAATTGGAAAAGTAGGCTAGAAAAACCCTGGATTCTGGTGAAGCACTAGAGGACAAGACTTTCCATAGTTTAGAAGTCCTTAGAGGTTGGTGAAGTGGTCATGACCAGAATATTGATAGAAATGTAGACAGCAAAAGGCCATCCTGATGAGACAGATGGAAACAAGGAATAAGGTGTTGGAAACTGGAGCACAGGTCACCCTTGCTACACCATAGC